TCACCGCCATGCCCCTCAGGAAGGGGAACCACCGGGCATGCGGACTGTCCGGAGCCACCAGGATCACCGACCTCCTCTCCTGTTCGATCCTCCGCAGCAGGACCGGCAGGAGACGCACTGGTGGGAAAGCGTACAGCAGGCCCCCTGGCCAGGGGTAATGAGCCAGAGCGTCCACGCCTAAGGGCGGCTCGTCCGCGGCCCTTAAGGCGAACCAGGACGGGCACTGTGCGTTCTCTGCACTGGCGAAAAGGTCGACCACTGGACGGCCGAACCTCCGCAGCTACCCGTGGGGCCAGGCCCCACTCGTCCTGGAGTGGGCCCCCCCTGGACATCCTGTCGGCCCCCACGTTCCGGACCCCCGGGACGTGGCGCGCCCTGAGAGACAGGAGGTGAAGCGCCGCCCACAGCAGCGTCACCGTCGCCATGCGATGGAGAGCGGGGAACCTGGTGCCCCCCTGCCTGTTCAGATAGGAGACCACTGTGGTGTTGTCTGAGCGCACCATCACGTGTCTCCCCTGCAGCTGAGGAGCAAAGTGCAGCAGTACCCTGTGCACTGCCTCCATCTCCAGCAGGTTGATGTGACGGGCTGAGTCCGACCAGCAGCCTCCTACAGAGCTCTGGCCGAGGACCCCGCCCCATCCTTCGAGCGACGCGTCCGTGAACACCTCCACGTGAGACACGGCGCAGGCCAGAGTCACTCCGTCCCGCAATAGACCCGGAGTGAGCCAGAACCTGATGTCCGATGCTGCCACTTGGGGAACCCAGATCAGCCTCCCCCCGTCCCGGGAGGGGTGAAGCCTGAGTCGCGAGAACCACCTCTGAAAGTTCCTCATGTGGAGAAGGCCTAGCCGCACCACAGCATGAGCCGCCGCCATCATTCCCAGCAGGGACCTGAGGCGCCGAGCGGGGACTCTGGGGCCCGCCAGAACCTCCCGGGCCAGACGGGTAATGTTGATCCGTCTGTCCACGGACAATGCAGCACGGAATTTCACCGAGTCTAACTGCAGACCGAGATAAATCATGCTTTGGGCTGGCTGCAGCTTGCTCTTCTCCCTGTTCACCACAAAGCCCAGACGCTGTATGTGGGACAGGACCCAGTGCGTGTGGCTCACGGCCACTTCCCTGGATGAGGCCAGAATTAACCAGTCGTCTATGTAGGTTAAAATTCTTACCCCTGCGCGTCTGAGCGGCTCCAGTGCTGCCTCCACACATTTGGAAAAAGTCCGAAGCGCGAGTGCGTAGCCGAAGGGGAGACGGCAGTACTCGTAATTCCTCTCTCCCACTGCGAAGCGCAGAAACCTCCTGTGTTCCGGCACTATGGGCACGTGGAACTACGCATCTGTCAGGTCTATGGAGGACATCCAATCTCCCTGCCTGACACACTCGAGGAGCTGCTTTGTGGACAGCATCCGAAACTGCCGTTTGGAAATGCACTCGTTCAACACGCGCAGATCCAGAATGGGACGCACCCCGCCTGACTTCTTTGGCACTAAGAAGTAAGGTGAGTACAGCCCCCTGGTGGCGTCCTGCGGGTCTACCTCCACTGCCGCGCCTCGACTCAGCAGAGAGGAGACCTCCGCTTGCAGTGCCTCTAATGATCCCCGTACCTGAGAGCGTGCTGCCCGTACGCCTCGGAATGGTGGTGGCTTTCTGGAGAATTGCAGTGCGTAACCCCTGCGGAATGTCTTCTCCAGCCACGGATCCGTCAGTAAGCCCTACTCCCTCCAGATGCTGTAGAAGTCTGTGAGGGGCGGAACGGGAGCTGGAACACGAGACGTCACTGCCCCGCCCTCTCCTGGTGTTCCTAGCAGGGAGGGGGGGTGGACGAAAGGGCCGGGGGGCCCCCTGCGTCACACCGAGAGCGCCGGGGGCGGTCACGTGTCCTGCAGGCCCGACGTCATAAGTACGGGACTGCTCATTCCACGTGACTCGGCTGCTGTGCCCCCCCCTGGCTCTAGCCTCATGGAGGGGGGGCGAGCCCCTGGAGTGGGAGACCCCGTGTTAGCCTTGTAGCTCAGAGATGCTAACACGCATTCGGCCGAAGCACACACATCACTACTCACCAGATCCCTCCGCCTGACCTCTCTGAGGGCATAGCATGAACCAGAGAACCGGAGCTCGTAGCTCGCGTAGCGCACTGCACACCCTTCTCTGGGGGCTGCAGGCCTAGCGAAGCAACGTTATGTGCTCGAGAAGTAACACAATCAGAATTCACATTATTTGACATGTTACATACCCCCAAATGAGACTCAGACAGCGAGTAATGACGAAATGCCGGTGGGCCTTTATTGAAAGAATTCTTCCCACCCCGACCTCTGCCATAGGGAGGTCGGCGGTGGGTGCGTTGGTCCCGTGAGCCTCCCCTGGGCCTGTCTGGACCCGGGGGCCTCGTCGAGGGGGCACGATAGGCCTCAGAGCGTGGATATGGGCCAGGGCGCCACCCGGGCGAACGCTCTCTGCCTCTGTCCCGGCTCCGCGCTGGTGGGCGGGCCTCGCGCCTCGGCGCTAGGTGCTGGGCTAGGCTAGCCGAGTCCTTGGCTGCGGTCTCCAGTCTAGCCACCAGGGTCTGCATGTCCGGGCCGAAGAGGGACGTCTGGGAAACAGGCAGGTCCAGCAGCTGCCTCTTCTCCGCCTCCCTGATGTTAGCTAGCCCAAGCCAAAGGTGCCTGGCCCCGACTTGAGCTGCTGCCATGGAGCGGCCGCCATCCACAGCTAGCGCCTGGCACATGCGCAGGATTGCCGCTGAGGTGGTCCTCGCCTGTGATAAGGTGTCTCCACTGAGCGCCTGGCCAGAAGAGAGCGACCTATCCAGGGCCCCCGTGATGAAGGCCATGTTGTTTGCCACAGCGACGACCTGTGCCGCATTGGCGTAACATCTGTCCAGCATAGCCAAAGACGTCCTGTCCCGCTCGGAGGGAAGGAGAGGTCTGGTGCCGGGCCACACGGATGCGGAGGGGTGCAGGGCCATGCGGACCGAATCCTCGATGTCCGGGACCCCGGACATGTCTCAGACTCCTCGTCCTGAGAGGAGTCCGGACGGGGCGCTGCAGCGGCGAGGAACGCACGCCTGCGTTCGCTCTCCTCCCTGGGGAGAGCGAGACACGAGGTGCAGGTGGCGCTCAACGCCGCATGGCCCGGGGTCAGGCACATGAAGCAGCTGGAGTGCTGGTCCGTGCGCTGGAGCCTGACTCGACACGTCGAGCAACGACGACGTCCGACGCCGGATGGCGAAGGGGAACTCGCACGAGCGTCAGAAGACATCTTTTTCTCTGGAAGTGAGTACTGTGGTAGATCTCAATCGGCGCCAGAGTGAAAGAGGGGGTGCGGCCTTGTGCAGGGGCATTTATAGAGGAGGGTGGCTGGTGATTGGAGCAAATTATTTTGATCTCTCTGGCGTGTGACCTGGGGGTCACGAGTGATATCCCACTAGCGAAGTCCTAAGGGACGTAGCACCATGACGTAGAACTACTTGCGGAGTAATCTACACATCTGAATTACAAGCAGAGAGTGCGTTGCCAAAGGGCAGCGTTCATTATTGTTTTGAGAGGTCGGTTATCAACAATTTGAGAGAACGATTGAAATTACATTCAAATCAATGGAGTGTTCTACTACTGCTGTGAGGAGCGTGTAAAAAGTACTAATAATATCATTGGTTGTTTGAATAAATTGAATTTAGAGGAAAAAAAGATGGAACGAGTTGAAATGTAAACGTGGTAAAAATACAGTATCTGAGAAATATGAAGACTTGAAAATTGGGGTTGACCTACAAATGAAAGACGTCAAACAATTCTGTATAATATTTGTGATGTATTGGGATCAAAATAGCCTCTAGCCTGTCTTGCCTGTAGGTGGGAAGTCTTGTCCAGAAATCTGGTGAAATTTCAATGTTAAAAAACCCATTACAAACTTCGTTATGCTCCAATACGTTTGCATAATATTAACCAAATCCCCACAACTCAAGGAAATTAAATTGAACAAGAAAACACACAAAGAATCACCAATCAATTCAAACCACTCATAAAAGCCATTCCTTTGTATACGACAAAACAGAATTAAATATTTATCAAAGTCCGAAGCATTAAAAAAAAATCCCACTTACCTCAAAGTTTCTTTTTGACTCAGGAAGAGGTGGGTGAACTTTTTAAAAAACTAATTTAAAATTTGAACATCCCACTAGAGAGCACCAAAGAAAGGCCCCCCCAGCTGAGGATCAAAGGGACGACCGGGGAGAGGCGACAATGCAAACGACTGCACCGACCTGGGAACTGCTTGACTTCTAAAATACTTGTGTAGTATGTGGAGTCATTCTTATTTATGAAGGCATAAATTGATGTATTATACCACATGATCAAAGTCCAGGTGGGGTAATACAGACAATTTATTCTTCCATTCATCCATGCCACGTCGGGATAAATTGAATATTCACATTTGTGGAATTGTTCCCGTGGCGAGAGAGGGTGGGTATGAGGACATGGGAGACTTCCAGACACTGATTTGTGGCTCTACGAGATAATAAAGATAATTTTGTTCTGGTTTATGCCAACTGAAGATGTGTCTTTTACAGTTTCCGATAAAAAACCCTAACATCAAACTAATAGCACTGGCTTCCTGAATGAGAAAATAGCTGGCATGTTAGTTAAGTCAAGATAAAATATGTTTCCGATAAATAATCCTAATGTCAAACTAATAGCACTGGCTTCCCGAATGAGAAAATGGCTGGCATGTTAGTTGCACTTGACATACCAAACTTGATTGCAAAGTGCATATTGAATAGTGACTAAAGATCTGAGGTGTTATGACAAATCACAGACTTTAAAGTGGCATCTTGCAGGATATATTCACACTCTGCCAATTGAGTTTCTGAAAATTACATCTGTTTATATATCAAAGCAATCTCCAGGCGATTGATTTTTGAATTCAGGCACAAATTGCTATAGTTAGTATTTTCACTGCGGCTAAATTATTCATGACAAACATTTGAAAATGAAGAGTTCACTCACACTCGGCTTTGGCACACACAAGGCTGGCGGACGGGTAGCTGAACGAGCGTAAGATGGCTCCTATGGCCAGGCTCAGGTCCTCGTTACTTGGGTACAACGTCACCGAGGCAAAGCGGAGGTAGGGCAGGCGCGGCGTCTCCTCTGGACCGATCTTCACATGAGGGATCTGCCACGAGAGGCAAGCTCAGTTAGTGGGGAAATGTATTACTTTATTTAAGAAGTTCCTTTATTCGTCCCACAATGGGGAAATTTCAGTTTGATGCATACACATATTTATACATATACAGTACATACACATACTGTATACACACGCAAGGAGTGAAAGTAAGCAAAAGTATGAAATATTCTACTAATCGAGGAAAAATTGAAAAAAGGTTGTTCGAAAAGTAACTACTTTTTAGAAGAGGCCGTTAGAAAACAATGCTCTTTGTATAGGTCAAGCAAAATGTCTTTGAGAAAATGAGTCAGAGGCCCTCGGATAATCCGCCAACACGTTTCAACATACTGTTTTCATCAGGACTTGTAAGTAACTTCCAGTATTTAAAATGATCAGATAGTTTTAGAAGTGGAAGTATGCAGCTAAGGTGGGTGCATATTTCCAGATACAATAAAGCTGGAGTTCCTAATTTCATAAATAAATTGTTTGTCACAAAATAAGGAAACATGTAAAACCTTTTGTGTACATATCACACCACAATATACAGTATAAGTAGTAGTAGTAGCAATGTTTATTTATATACTGTACCGCCTTTCACAGACCAGAGTCACAGAGCGGTTTACAATTTTTGGCAATTGTCCTCTCATTCCACACAGAGCGGGATCGCCAGACACGGGGAGAACATGCAAACTCCACTTAGAAAGGCCCTTTTCCGACCGGGATAAGATGCTACTGAGCTTCTACTGAGAGCTGATTGGCTGAGTGAGGGCTGAAAATCTGATCTAAAGACTTGACAGAGGCCAATGATACATACATGTGAAAATGATTGAGAGAAACCTTTGATATCATGACAACCCTATGTGTGTGTTAGCGTTTGTGTAAATGTATATCATACACAATGTAGCAGGTAAATATTGTGATCAGAATGGGTGATCAGACTCGAGAATCCTGATTGGAGCTCTTCTACATACACAGCTAAACATGAAAAATCCATTAGACAGTCTGGAGAGGGTGAAAAGCAAGATGAGACAAAACGGCAGAAGCAGAGAACAGAGAGACCCGAGGATAAAAGGCTATGGGGGAAAATATAGGAAAGATAGCTATTAATTATTTGGCTCAGAAAGCTCCCCAGACGCTTTTATCATGACATCTAAAGCCAGACGTGAGCTTGCGTTTATTTGCCATGGAGTAATGAACAAACTTCCGGTGCACTCACCTCTTTCTCTCCACAAATATGACTGACAGTTGACCCGGAGGCGGGGCTGGAGGCGGGACCAATGACAGAAACAACGCCTTTGGGTAGAATCTGACACACTGGGAAAAAAAGAGAAAGTAAATAAATGAGAATTAGCTATGCACAGACATGGGGCTGTATTCTGCCTTGCATTCTGTTGACAGAGTTGGCATACAGTAGGCGCAGTGCAGTGGGAGAAGCGTGGAGATTTTAAATTGCGGCATTTAAATTTGAGTTAAGCCCTTGATTCCATTGTAGTAGTGGAATCTGTCTCATTATATGCTGATTTATTTGGAGATAAATACTCAGAGGACTACAGCAGGGCAGCCCACGGGTTGCCTACTGCTATCATTCCCTGGTTTAGAACGTCAAGCTTTTTAACAATTTTCAGGCTGTTATTATATTGTGTGTGTTTGAAGAATGCTGACAAACTGGTGACGCCGAAGCTGAAAGTCAAACTATGACTTCAGAGGTTGTTTTTTGGAATCTGAAAACAATGCAAGGATGTTTTATCACAGCACATAACTATCATAATGCAATCATTTTTCTTTTCATTTAGGGAAGCTTGAGTGCACAGCGTGTATCAGTGGGGGCTCACTTGCTTAAAATCCACAAGCTCATATTCCCAGCAGATGCTTGAGTGATTAGCAGTGAGAGGAGGAAAGACAGGCCAGTCTCCCGCTCTCTATATACCTGACTAATTGAGCAGCCGGTGTTTGCGTTGCTGATCAATAAAGCAGAGCTGGAGTCACATGATGACTGACAAACAAATGAAAACAAACTGCTTTTCCCTCTGTTTTCATGCATAATATATACAAATAATCAAGACGAAAGGCAGTGGAACTGTTTTGTCTATAGAATACGGGGGTTTGGTAATGAGCACGTCAATATGAGAGACGTTTGTGATAATAGTTATCTTCTGTGACAGCTAAATAAGCGGTGGAAGTATTATTTTATATTTTGTTTATTGTAACTATAATCATATTCTTTGAGATGTGTATCAAATCGGCAGTATCTGAAAGACACCCAGACCTTTATGTTTGACCCTGAGATGCCTGTACTACAGTCTGTGCACGTTTCAGCCTCCAAAATGTAAAATACATTATGTATTTTACATTTTGATGCGTAGTGAATGAATCAAGAGTGCTCGCCTGTGTGTTCTTCAGCCTAAATGCAATCGGAAAATCATTTGCTCTTTTCATATGAAGTGTGTTACGTGCAGAACAACATTGGATTGCCATCATGTTATGGCCATGAATGAAAAGTACGGCTGTTTCTTTTCACTTTCTCCCTCATTACAGTCCTCAGGGCAATGTCGACGGGTGATTTAAAAAACGTTTGTCTCTCTCTGGTGTTGCAGAGCAGGCACAATGCCATTTGGCTAAAGTAACCCTCAATGTCTCGGGTCAAAAAGTCAGTTCTTAAACAGGGCACTTGAGTTGCATCAAACATTGAATCACTGGTTCATTGATGCCGTCATGGAGGTTTCCTGCAAATTCCATTCAAATCTTCCCAAAAGGTTTTGATCAAAAGCAATCATAAACTCACACTGTATCTTCATCATCCGCCTTTGTTAAAACTCCCATTTTTGAACACACAATTATAAGGTGTTTTTTTTCATCACTATTTTGCACAGTTCATTTAATTAGTCATTTTCTCAGTGGCTTCCCAATCATCGCAGATCTTGCGTGGCACTTATTTTGATAGTCATTAAGCTCCACTTATTTTGGTATATTTAGTTCAGTCTTTTAATTCGTCCCAATTAGTCTTCTTCAGCCCGCGCCTGCTTCGCTGTGCCCTGTGTGTGTTAGTATCTAGTGGAAACTACCGATTAAGGGTGAGCCCGAGCATGAGCGTATGGGCGAGGGGTGCAGAGGATGACGAGCAGATGATGTCTGTGCAAAAGAACAGAAACATTTTTCATTCAAAAAGAGCCCAAGAGAGAACAGGGCTGTCAGAGCGTCCTGCCCAACGGTCAAGGGCATGCACAAGCCTAACCTTGGAAAAATCGCACAGACATTTTGCCGTAGCTTGTGGCAGGGTCTGTGACCTGTTAGAACAAGACTACTGTCTTCTCGTCTCTCTTTCAGTCTTTTCTTAAAAAACACTGCTCAGTGCTGGAGATAAAAGGATTCCTGCTGTTTTCATATGAAAAACTCCAACAAGTGAAACAAGAAATATTATTTGTAAAAGCAGTTTAATTAGTTTGTCCTGATTTTAACATGATAAAATCAGGACATAATCTGTTGTTGAGAATAAGATAATTTGGAATTGCTGTTTTTTATTGTGGTTATTATGATTGTAGCACTTTTTTAGTATAAATATTCTTTAATATAAAGTGTTACTATCATTTCTAAGTAGTTTGAGTAGCATTTATAGATATAAGTTACAAATTATATTGGAGCTATGCTTCAGGGATGCTCTGGTCTCACTCACTTATCAGTGATATTGATCTATGGGTTATTGTTTTTAATTTACATTTGAAACGGCATCTCCCCAATTCTCTGAACATTATCAGTAAGGTAAAATATTTTTTGATTCTCTAGGTGCAGGTTCCCTGCACCTATCCTAAGATTGTTTTAATAAATTGGTCTCAGTGGCTGTGTCCTGAGTGGTGTGGGTTCAGTTGTGATATTGTTTGATGATTTTTTGTTGTCATGGTTTGCCGCCACACTTTGCCAGCTGTTTCTGCAGGGCACTGTTCCAGGCTTTCTTAATGAGGCGGCAGAGTGGTCTCAATGACATGCGCTCTCATCAGGGTTAGTATTTGCTAGTTTCCTTTCTCACCGACCCTGTTGCTGTGCCTTTAGTCAACTAATTACTGGAAGCTTTGACTAATAGGGCAACAGCTTTGTATATTTGATAATCATTCCCTTTATTTTCCTGTACTTTTGATCAAAACAAGTAACATTTTTCACATTGTTGTTTCCCCCAGAGCAGACATGTGTGTTGTGTGTACTGTGTTTTCCCATTGAATAAGTCAATTTAAAAAGCTAGGTTTTGAGTTTTAAAAAGGTGAATCGGTGTGAACCGGTGTTGCAGAGTTGAGTAGTTGAAAGCTTTATTCCTCATTGTGGCCTTTTATCTGTTGGGACAATGAGGAAAGCAGAAGATGGAAAAACATGTAATTCAGCAACGATTTACTGTATTTGCTATGTTTGAGAAACCAGGAGTGCACCACAAATGTGGATAGTTCGTGTTGACTGTAAAATGAACTCAGCCTCGACTGCAGCAAACAGTGGATAATGAACCAATTAAGTTTGTAACGACTTTAAGGCAGAGGAAACAGAGAACGGACCCTTAAGTGTCGTTTGCATTACTATATACTGTATTACCACCTATTATCTTAGAAAGCAGAGCTGCAGAGAGGGTGAGAGAGGAGTGTGCAACACATGTTTGCAGTGAGTGAACAATCTGCAGAATATTGTTATTTTAGTCGATCTAATGATCACCATAAACTAGTTTGTTCTGATGTTTCTAAAAAACATCCACTAGATAATTCATCCAGTGAAATGTCTGTAACAGATGAAGAAAGAATCATGAGTCATTTTGGTGTTGCAACTGGATTCAGTCACTTTTTCATCACGCTTTACCCTTTTCAGCTAAGGGTGAAAAATACCTCAGAGAAGCGCTGCAGGTTTCTTTGCAAAATCTGTTATTTTGACTCTGTAAGTACTTTCTAAGAAAGATGCAATCTTTAGAGACACAATTCTGTACCAAAAAGTAATTTTAGACTGAAATGTTCAAGAAATATGAATCAAAAAACAATCTGAATGAGTATGAACCAGTAAATAATAAGTAATGTATGTGAATCTATATTTTCGGCATCGCTTTTCCAGCACATTGTGACGATAGTGATGCACTTACTGGTGTCAGTGGTGTCATATTGAGAATCTTTCTGCAGTTCATAGATGTCCACCTCCACTTGGGCTCGAGTGGGACCCTCCATCACACTGTTGATGTTCTCCCGGGCCAAAGCCAGTGCCAGCCGCTCCCCTCGCCCACACACCGACTGGTCATCCAGGATCGCCGCTGCACAATGAAAACAAACAAATAAGACAAGACAAAGACAGGCAGGAAGAAACAGGAGTGCGTTACGACATATGGAGCGTGTGTGTATGTGTGTGTGTGTGCGTGTGTCTGTGTGTATGTGTGTGTGTGCGTGTGTCTGTGTGTGTGTGTGTATGTGTGTATGTGTGTGTGTGCGTGTGTCTGTGTGTCTGTGTGTATGTGTATGTGTGTGTGTGTGCGTGTGCGTGTGTAAATTTGATGTAAGTATGTGTTTAAAGTCAGCTGATCGACGCCAAAACGTAACCCCCTTCCCCCAAATGAAACAAAACTGGATGGCTATTGAATTTATTGCAGCAGCCCTTTTCTAATGTTTGAGTCATGGTGATGACAAATGTGCCAGCGGATATTTCTGACACTCAAGACGATTTAAATGGAGTAAAACAACAATTTAACATGATGTTTGGCAATGTCACTTTTCATTTTCAGGGCAAAAATGTGGGCAAAATTGTCTGTAATCTTTGAATGAAGGATTGAGTATCTGGGCCATCATTTCATTGTCATGCAAATATTACTGATGCTACTTTCACTTTTTATTATCTTCAGGTGCTTTCTGCCCGATGTTTTGGTCCTGGTTTGATGAGAAACTAGTGGGCCAGAGCAGGTGAAGTGCACAGTGTGTTGAACGCTTACCCATGCGGACAGAGGAGAGGAGAGGGGCTTGGCTGAGGGAGCGCGGCGCCATGGAGACTAGTAGAAAGGACAGGAAGTGTGTTGACAGCAGCAGAGCTGGCAGAGCCGGCATCTTCTACTGCTCCTCATGGAGAACGGTCTGCTGGCTGCCTGTGCCACCACCTGAGGAGGACCAGCATTCATATTGTGACTGATGCTTGAGGCAGATAATAGGTCATTCATTTTTCATGTGTTAGAAATATAGAATAAAAAACATCACACAAAATCTAAAAAATATAGAATAAAAAATGTTTAAAATATCACAATGAAGACACCCATTTGAGGCAGATAATGTGCTCATTCATGTGTTTATCTATTTCAAACATGCACAAGATATACAGACAAGATATACAGAATTATTCAGGGAAAAATAGAATAAAATGAAAATAAACAAAAAACTTGTGCATGGTTGGAAAAGAGATAGAATAAAGCTAAAAATTAATCCAATCCCCTCCCAGACACACACATTAAAATACAAAAACAAGAAGCAGTACAGTACACACACATTAAATAACACTGATTGCATGAGACAAGACAAGACCAAGACATAGACACACACACATGCACACACACACACACACACAAACACAGAAGCACTGATTCAAACAGACACATTACGGGCCCAAAACACTCTCTAACCCCACACCTCTCTCTCCTAACCGGATCAATGAACATCATATACGTTCAAATTTACAGTATTATTGTCTACTTAAATGCAATACAAGTCACTGATTTGAATATGTTCCCAAATGTCGGTCAATTTGTTTATTTATTCCCCCCCTCAGTCTGTACGTCCGGCGTGCATCTCCGTCATGGAATGTTCTGCTCTCTTTTGTAACTTTGTCCACTCTTCCGGCTTCACCCCATTTTACATTTGTAGAAATGTGACAGCCCAGAGGATCAACTTTCATACGGCGCTGTGATATTTGCTTTTCCTCACACAGTGGGCCATGCATACAGCCTTCTCATCATAACACACACTGCGCACTTGTTGGTCTCCTGTGTACCAGCCTGCCATTTACAAGTGACAGCACTCAGCCTTTAGCAGCTCAACAGAGAACGTTCAAAGACACGCATCACACCAGCGAGCGTGCAGACCCGGCACGACTGTATTCACATCAATGACACTGCAACAAACCACCTCTAATGCTTTCTATCAGACAGTATTCTACAGAGCGCCACAGAGGGAGGGGGAGATGGTGGGGGGGGGGGGGGGGGGGGGTACGCACCTACACCTCAAAACACAGACACAGAGCTGCCTCCAGAGCCACCATCAGCACAGACTGACAAAGATGACAAGGCGAAAGAGAGGGAACGAAGCGGCGGACAAGGTGAGAACAGAGAGAGGGGTATGGTGTGATGAGCGGACGGCATGGGAGGGTGTGGGGGGTGGGATCTTAAGGGTTACTCGAACAGAAGGGTGGGGGGGTGCTGGCCAGAGGGGGACATTTCAATCTCCCCTGACAGTTATGGGACGTTCGTTGACCCGGGGAGGCGGCAGGATACACCTTGACCTATCACAAGTGCTGTGGGAGTGGACCGAAGATGACAGTGACGTTTTACATACATGACATTGTACTGTTTGATATTATAGTGAGCTGTTGTGTGGATCAGTCTTTCTGAAAATGTGAGACAGGCTTCTACTCTTGACAATTTTTCAACTTTTTGTTTAACAGTGCATACTTGTGTCTTCACTCTCTAATGTACTGTGATTTCAACGCCTTGTAGGATCTTGTTTGGTGAAGCGCTGCGAGTTTCCTTGTGTATGAACTGTGTCATACAAACAATGTATGTCATGCCTGTTATGTAATTGTGTTTATAGAGTCAGTGTCTGTCCAAATACTGCATATTAATTAAACGTTTTGGGCTAAATCTGGGGGGGAAAAAGCAAAATGTTTTCTTTCTAATGCAAATAAAGGTCCTTTTTTTACACAGACTGTTTCGAATGGTTATCATTATTAAATATTCATTGTGTTATGATACATTGTGTTGATGCCCATAATTATAGATGGATTATTTATGGCCATTAAATTGATAATGAAACATTTTACTTTGTACGTTCATGTTTTAGAATGTGAAACAATATCTTAAGTAGAAAATGGATGCCAAAACAAGCGTGAAATGTCATTTATACAATTTATTTAGACTTCATATTATACTGTAATTATTTTTTCTCCTCCCTTTGGCCGCACTGCTCGTTGTAAATGTGCTATACAAATTAACTTGACTTTGACATTGAAATATGTGTTTTTGTTTTATTCCAAATTAAAAAATGTCTAGCTCCAGGTTTGAGAAAGGAGCATTTTGTCGAAGGGGAGGAGTTTCAAGTTTTTGCCTGACCTCATATTAGCGTGAATGGATCTACAGTAAATAAGTCCAAAGGAACAAAAGCGTCTCCTAAATAATTCAACAATCATTAAGGACCAGTCTGAGACATACACAGAGAGACAACCTTCCACTTACACATTCATACACAGTGCCAATTCATGACTGGAAGGATAACATTTGACCCCCGACAAGAGCTCTGGGAGTGCACGGAAAAAGGCATACACAACATATAGTAAGTTGTTTCTTTTGCTTGTATGCACATCAAAGCAGGATGCCCACAAGACACACACTGCCACTCACAGAGCTTTTCACATTTTGTTTCTCCCCTCTCCATCCTTTCCACCGCCCTTTTGTCTTTGATGTTATGGCACGTACAATTCCAAGCTTTGAACCTCTCGCGGCAACTTACAAATCCAACTTTTACCTCTTGTTTCTATTTCTCATTCCTTGCAATTATTGACCATTCTTTCCATCTCATTCCCGGCTCGGCCTTGTCTGAGGGTGAGCTAGCGTTTGAGTAGACGCGTTGGTAAGGCTAACCGCGGGCCCCATGCTGAGAACATGGCAACGCTAGGCTCATTATTGGGAAGGCGACTTTACGTAAACAGCTTTCTGAAAAACAAATGGGTAATAAGCATGCAGTGGCCATGACTTTTATTGTTTTATGTTGTTCTGTGCATTACCATAGATGCAATGGTCTGTACTGTAAGTATGTTTGCAATAATGGGAATAGTAGCATTATTATTTTGGATACATGGAGAGACCAAGCTGAAAACTTTTCCATGATCCTAACAGTATAGTTGAAATAGGTATACAAAGAAAAAGAGCGGAACAAGTCTACCCAAAGGTAGTTTATAAGTACAGTATGTGTACAGTACATACAGTACCACCAAAGTACTGCACATGAGCTGTCCTTTACAAGGCCCCATACATACATACTGTCTTCTTTCTCCATTTACCGCTGTATTTGGTGGTGTGTATGGAAGTGTTTATCCCGGGGCAGTCTGGGTCTTGCCTCGCGTGTGAGCGTGATGGCATATCGATCGAGCCGCCGGCTGAAGTGGTGGGCCCTCAGGTGCAGTCAATCAAAACAATTGGGAGCCTATCATGGGAGCGCGGCGTTTGGCGAGGGGCCTTCTGATTGGCCATTACCAGGGAGCGGATTGGTGTGATGATGAATAAGATCCTAACCTGGGCCTATGCCTTCATCAATGATGGGAAGGAACTGCTGCCTATTTCATTGTTATTGAGAGCCATCGACAGCATTAGACAGAGAAGATTACAGCGTCGCATCGGGAGAAGTTGAGGTGAGGAGAAGAAAGAGGAATGGTCTGTGTACGAGGGGGAATAGAAGAACAAAAGTGAAAAACAGAAAAAGATTAAAAAGTGTTGTGTGGAGGTTAAGGAGGCAGAAGAAGGAGCAGTATGTGTGGCCGGTAACCAAGTACACACACACATTCAAGAGACAGGCACAAATGTGATTCTTATCGGAGTACAAATATCATGTCTCCCTCGACCTTATTTTATCACTTGTTTAAATGGCCATATTAAAACTAAGCCAATAACTATCTGTTGCTGCAGTTCAGCTCTGTCCTGGATAAATGTGGGTGAAATAGAAAAGTGAGCTAAATAGAATGCTAAGTGCAGTCCAAGAGGTGTTGCTCTAGTCCTGAGTGAAATCTGCATATTTTCTGTGTTTAAGATTCAAATGTGTCCATTGCTGGGAAAAAAAGATTTGTGGGAGAAACTATTGAATAATCTGTGTATTAACTGTTCATGAAATGTTGGTGATCTGTGCTGTATTTTATCATCATGTTTAGCAGACATGCAAATACTTATTGCAATTCCAAACCATGATTTAAGTTATTTTAAGAAATACATTTGAAATCACCCATTTTGTGCAGGGACTGTATTGGTATTCAGGTTATGGCATTTGGAAAGTAGACATACAGGACACACTAACATTGGCGAATGAGACAGCTGTGGGATCAGATGCTTACAGGGATAAATACTGTGTATACTGTATACCCCACACGTTCTTTTTTGATAAGACAGCAATGCAACAGGTAGTCATAATTGAGACCAATCATCACTGTGTAAATTGAGAATGTACAGCGGGTTAAATCGTTAGAATTACTGCCATTATTCAACTCCTTCAATCACCAAAAGACGTGGCTCCCGGACAATCAGACCTGCCAACAGGAACAATGACTGCAAGGATGTGTCCAATAGAAGGAATTATGTAGTATAGAAGGTAGTGTGTAATGTATGTGTGTGTGTGCATGTGTGTGTGTGTGCGTGTGTGGATCCATCCATCCATCCATTTTCTACCCTTTAATCCATTTCTGGGTCAGGGGGGTGGCAATCAGAGATGCCACCCAAGTCTCATAGCACCAGCCCCTCACTAACCCTCTGCAGGTGGTGAGTCCACAGGAGGACGGCTGCTCTCTGAGTGTGAGCATAGCCTTGATCTTTCAGTGGGGGCTTTGGGCAAAGTGGGGTTAAGTGTCTTGCCCAAGGACACAACGACAGCAGTCATCAGTGGGAGTCGGTGGAGAAGGTGCAGAGGTGGGAATTGAACCCACAACCTTCTGGCCTTAAGGCCAATGCTCTACCAACTGAGCTACTGTTGCGTGTGTGTGTGTGGATCTACATGGCGAAATCTTTTTGGCTTGAATCTGGTGTGTTGTATAAATAATGTTCTATCATCTATGTTCATTGACATCCCATACATACATACATAAATACAAACAAAAAAGTATTTTGTAAATAATATTTTACCAACTGCCTTTGTTATGAATAGGTTGTGTATCGCACATTATGCATTGTGTGGTACAAATAAATCTTGTATGTGGAGAGGACCTGAAAGCTTTAAGCAGACAGTATAGTGCCTGTGGTGATCAGAGCAGACACTGCACAAGCCCCCTGGCCTCTGGTAGAACCTGAGCTTACAGAGGGATAACCACCCGCCGTCAAGGGTGAGGTGAGAGTTTTGTTTGTGCCAACATTTGTGAAGCGTATGTACACAACAAAGAGACGGTCATTTCTGGGCTTAGTTTAAGAGCACCGAGCTGAGCCTTGACCAGACTCGTACTGTGCCCTTCATATAAATGATACTATGGAAACACAGTGGAAAGACCAAGCAGAAACTTGTTAGTCCTTGAACGAGACAAAAAGTATAGCACTGAAAGGATTCAGGCAAAAATAACATTAAGGCAAAAATAACATTTGCTTTATTTATTTAGAAATATGACTGTCATTTAAAGGCCATACTTAAATCAGACAACTGAAAACCAAGGATCGAACCCACAACCTTATTGCTGTGGGTGCTAGCAAAACAGTCACTCTAAATGACAATTGCAATTCCACGAACAGCAAGTCCAGTTCATTGTGGTATAAGTGAACCGGCCAAATAAACCTCAGCCATTGTTTATAAAGAAGCAGAAACTAAAAAGCAGCACGATGGAGTGAGACACAGGCAGGAGGCAGAGTTGCAATGACACACTGTACGTGATGTGTGAAATCCGGGCCCAGGTCTCTGCTGTATTATGGACTACACTGAGGAGTCTCTGTAGCAGTTGGGCGTCAGTCGGCGGGGAGCTGCAGCTACGAGAAGCTCGAGAGAAGCCAGACTAGACCGAACAGTGCTCTGAGCCTCCCTCTGCAGGCTTTCATTCTGCACCCTGCTGTAAGTCACCCCACATGCTGGCAGAGCTGAGAAATACACAACAGCAGAAACGCATAAATATCCTGGGTGACTGTGTGGAATCAGGCAATGTGTGTGTGCGTCTGTGTGTGTGTCTGTGTGTGTGTAAGGCATGGTGAATAAAAGACAGAAGGGAGTTAGAGAAGGGACAGCAGCCCAGTTAGAGATTTAGCTCGACGGCACCAGCATTCATCTTAGTGTGTATATGGTATGCAGATTAGTGTACGAGTATGTCTGTGTGTGTGCGTGTGTGTGTGGATATGCGTGCAAGGTCTTGGCTGCTTGATTTTAGTGTCTGCATTGCCCATTATGAAAAGGAAAACCGTAAAATCAGATATCTTAATTACCCAGAGGGAGTGCGAGGAGAGAGGATGGGAGGGCTGTAGCGGGATTGAGGAACTATGAGGAGGAGATATTGGTTTGGCAGAGAGCGATGGAAGGATGTATAAGAGAGGAAATAGGCTGGGGTGAGGGAATGCTCGCCCCGAGGCAAAGAGGGACAGAGAGTAACAGGGAGGAGTCGGGATGAGCGATGGC